TACTGTTCCATTCTGCACTTCTCACTAGAGTTACTGTTTGTTACATAAAGAAACCGAATGCGATTTTTACCAGTTACTGAAAAAAACTAAAAACTCGTTTTCACTACTGCTGTAGGAAAAAAGAGTTTATAAGATAAAAATTCGTTTCGAATACTTAGGTTAATTACAGTCTAGTAGTCTTAGCAAATGTTTCCTTTTCATGAATCTCAACGTTTTAGTTGATGCATAAAAGCAAAACTTCAAAATATTGCAGGAAAATTATGTAGGGATGTTTAGCTAAATTAATAGCTACTTGATGCATCAGGCAGTAAAGAATAAATTTTTTTGGCAAGTGAACTTTGATCTTTGTACCTTTCTTACTGCAAATTTGCGCTCTGTTTCAAATAAGACTGCCCTTCTTAATAAAAGTTTTAATATCCATAATGCACGGGGATATCCACATGGGGATTAATTGTCACATATTTAGGCATTAATAGATATTCTTGGGTATAAAATTATTTTATGAATATTACTCAGTAACATCAGTGCTGAATCACAAAAGAGTTGCTTTCTTCCCCCACCGCTATTCCTTATCATATTTCTGTTCCTGATAAAAAAATTTATGGTTTCGATATATCCGAATGCACTTTTTAGTTTTTATACGTAGGTGGATCCAAAAAAAAGTGGGGTTACAAGCATCAGCATTTGAAAAGTAATTATTGGAGAGAAAATACTTTATTTCCACAGTGTAGGCTGATGGCAATAGTTGTGTAAAGCACCCTGTGAGTGATGGTGTCATCCTCCTGCATGGCATTGCCCGCTCCCATACTGCTCTCTCAGACTCAAGAATTGTTGTAAAAGTTTAAGTGGGAAATCTAGAGTCACCCCCCCTCATACAGCCTAGTGACTATTACCTTTTTTCCAAAACTGAAGGAACGTAGTATCTGGAATGAGGTTCTCTTCAGACAGTGATGTGAAGGCTCAATGGGCAGGGACGGGATTTCTACAAAGTCGGGGTTAAACAATTAATTGTTGCGTTCAGATAAATAACTAAATAGATTTGGTGATTACGGGGAAAAAATGATAGGTAAGTATGCCTCTTAGTTCCCATATGTATTTTCAATCTGCTGTTGATAAATAATTATTTGTTACCCTCGTAACCCCCCTCCTTTTTTTTTTTTTGGATCCACCCTCGTATTTATTTTCTTACTAATGTACTTAAAATATTCTTGATTTCTTGAATACTAAATATGTTACAGTGCAAATTGTTTTTACTTTACTTTGAAAAAAGTAATTTGCACGACTAAGGTAAAGCTAAGCGACATAAAAATTAAAAAAAAAAAAAAAAAAAAAAAAAAAAAACTTAATAAAATTTGCTTACAGTTCAAAATTTCCTACTTCGTAATTATAGCACACTATTTAAAACTTAAATAGTGTGCTATAATTACGATACTCAAGCAGGAGTGCATGAAAATGAGCAATGCCCTCTCCGGGAACCCGAAACTCTCGAATACACGCCGAGTATGCTACTACACAACGAAGGCAAGCTGGAAGGACTGAGAAAATATCTGCTCCCGCTTTGAAAAGAGCGAGTGGGTACTAGTGGACCCAATCGCCAAATTCTGATTGTGACAAATCATTGTCCACCACCTTTTAGTTTGAGTGCCTCTGTAGAGTCATGGCAATTAATCACCATGTGGGCATCTCTGTACATTACGGATATTAAAACTTTTATTAAGAAGGACAGTCTTTTTTGAGACAGAGCGCAAGTTTGCAGTAATAAAGGTATGGAGATCAAATTTCACTTGCAAAAAATTTATTCATTACTGTCTGATGCGGCAAGTAGCTCTCCTTTTCTAACTGAGAGATGAACAGTTTTAATTTCCTTTCAAGTGATGCATTTACTAAGCTAGGAAATCATTTATTTTTGCCTTGTAGTTTTAAATTTATATCATTGATATGCTAGTAATATCAACAAACAGTGCCAAATCGGGTAACCAAAGTCGTTGTCAAATAATAGGGGTCTTTCATGTAGTTCATTTTCCTGTTCTTAAAAATCAGAACATTACTTTTCAATTCTCGTCTGTTTAATGATGTTGCTCTAACTTTATTCAAGCATTTCATAATCGCTAGCATAACATGTTGCTTAAACTCTTGCCACACAATGCCTTTTGGTGTATGATATAATAATCTTTTAGTACAGGAAGATTTAAAGAATTTTCAAGCAAAGTTACAGTGTCATTGACTTTACCTATTATTGACAGTGCTTCGTCAGTAGACACACTGATGAGTTTGCTGCAATTTAATTTTAGATTTTCTAGGTATGATTTTATCTTTCCAAATGTGTTTAATCCTCTTGTTTTACAATGTAATAACTCCATATTGGTAAGGTCTCAAAGACATTAAAACTATCATCAGTTGCTCTTATAAAAATGCTTTAGTTCTTAACCAGTTACTTTACGTTAATCAGCTTTTCTATACTCCTCATTTCCATTTTCCTACCAGAATGTAAATTTCTAGCTCCCGTGTTCCACACAAATGTGCTAGAAAGAGCGGAGTATTTAAAGGAAGGTCACAGACGGTAGACTCAGAGCGTGTTCTGACTGCGGAAGGCCACGTTGCTGAATTGATTCCCTTGCTAGTAGTAATCTGCGGCCTTGGGTTATTCTCGCCATCAAGGTTGCTACGCCGATCTTAGGTCTGAGCCAGCTTGCGTGTTACTCTAATTGTGTAGCCGTTACGCTAACTTAGTTTTCTTAGTCTTAGTTAATTCATTATTTAAGCCAAAATTGTTGACTTTTGCATGCCCGAAGGGTGCCGTCTGTTGTCTTGAGTCTAACAAAAAGGTCCTTTCCACCTTTTTACGGTGTGGCTGTGGTGACCTAGTGATACAAGACCTAGTGATGATTCATTTCAAATCTTTATGACGTTTCGTACATTTCATGCTTGCAAAGCGTACGAAACATTATACTGTGCAACATCAGATATATACGATGATTCATCCAAAGCTAGAGAAAAGAAAGTACAAGAACGGACAAGGTCTTACAATTTCTGGGATACATTGTGAGAGAGTTCCTCGATACGTCTAATAACTGTCTTCCTTGATAAGCAGTTTCGTCTACTTTCCTTTCAATACCTCTATTATCAAGATGGCCTGCGAATATTTGGAGACAAGGCTTAATAATTTCTTCTCTGTCGAGGAAAGGTTTTTTTTTTTTTTTTTTTTTTCTTTTAAGTCCAAAGGGTCTGCCACCATATATTATCGCCCTGTCTTTATTTTAAAAAAAAGTAAATAATGAAGAATCTACATGAATGTATGTATGTTTCTTGCATTGTGATAAAACAATGGTACCTAGAGCCATCAAAATTTGAATAACGTAAGCTTCCATAGAATATGGGCAGGTGGAAGCCCTAATTTGAATTTGAAATGTGTTTTATTATCGATTTCATATTTTGTAACACTTCAACGAATATTTGATTAGAAAACTCAACGATTACAAAGAGACCAATGGCAACACTGTACAAAAAAAATATTTCTCCAGCGCGAGAGACTGTGTATCAGAAATCCTAAAGATATGCTCATTTAAAAATTATTTTGCGATATTGCTCTCGAACTGAATTTCATGGTTTAAGTGCGAAGAACATGATATTTAATAAATACAGATAACACACTAAAAAAATCTGAAACCTTTCAGATTTTTTTTTTTTTTTTTTTTAATTTTTTGTTTTGTTTTGTTTTTTCCTCCAACGCTAAAGCAGTTTCATATGATACTTCTAGTCTTCTTCTGATTTCTTCCCTTTTCTTAATCACATATTGTTTTCACAACTCAGACCCAAGAATAAACTTCATTTTTTTGTAAGTGTGATAGTGTGTTTTATAGTATCTATTAAGCTCGTGTCTTCCATTATGTGAAAAAGTACTTTCACAAACAATGCAAAAGTTTTTCTGATGAATTTGATAATAACTCATTTTCACTCTTTTCATAAATTCACGTCTATTATAACTTTCTGCTCTTCTTTGGTCACTTTATTTTACACTGTAATGGGCAAAAGAAATTTAGAAAAAACATGGGAAAGTACAAAATCCTAAAAAATTTTGAAAAAGAACAAATAGATCACAATTATATTCATCGTATCACACAAAATAATAATAATAATAATAATAATAATAATAATAAAGAAAAAAAACACGAACACACGAAACTCTCTTGCAAACAGTCTGCTTCTAAAACTCGACACCCCGCTGGCTCACTCAGAATTGACTGAAGCATCACTTGTAATTAATTTTCGGCATCGAGCTTGTTACGTCAACCTTATGTCAAAGACAATTTGCACGTTACTCTAATTGTCTAGTCGTTAGGCTAACTTACTTTTCTTAGTTTTAGTTAATTCATTATTTTTGATTTAAGCCATAATTGTTGGCTTTTGTAAACATGAGTGGTGGCGTCTGTTGAGTCAAATAAAAGTGTCCTTTACACCCTTTTCCTGGCGCTTGCGCCACGGTTTGGTCATCCTGGATGTAAGCAAACTATTATTTGTCTGATTTTCTACAGCAGAACAAACATGGGAATATTTTCAAATTTATGCAACTGGTTACACTGGAACATGCGTTCCAAATAATCAAAGCATCAAAAGACTTTGGGGCTTTTCAAGTGGCCCAACAAAATATACCATATAGCCGCGCGACGTACTTATATTCGAATATAAGAGAATTTTTGTACATAAAAGAATTTACGTTCGAGTTAATTACGTTCGAAATCACATGCCAACTGAGTTTACAAAGATGACTATTTTGTTACTACTTGAAGTGTCGTTAGGGATTTTTTGGCTGAAGGAATGTGGCGCAAATTTAATGAAAATTTTTTTTCGTATGATTTCAAAGCTTGTATTTAGTTAACTTTTTTAGGTGCTAGATCCGTCCCCTCAAGAGATTTACGGTAGAGTGCTAGGCAAACTGGAAAGTACTATTCATGCTCATTATTAATAAATCTAGTTTTATTTTAGCAGAAAGTAATGCTTACTTCCTGGAAGCTGACCATCTGTCGAAAACACTGCCATTGTAGATCCCGATTTAGATAAACCGCCTGCTTCACTGGGATGTATTTTACTATGTCTTGGAGATCCAGTTCTGGAAGGGGGTCCAGCAGTGTAAACACCATTTCTTCCGTCTGCAGCGAGGGATAATGTGCTAGATCCTAGACCACCAGGACCTTTGTAATTTAAAAGACCTTCTCCAGAAGAAGGGTTTATTGAAGCTGATGAGTACGTATCTGAATCATGAGTGATAACTACAGCAGGACAAAGTTGACGACTTCTTCCAGAATGCATGTCCAAACCTTTTCCAAGCCCACTAATACTGTAAATGTCGACATCGACGTCTCCCATGGATTAAGCACTGCAAAAGTTTACATGACAATAAATCATTACTTTATTTTAAAGGATAATTTTTAAATTTGCATCTTTTGCACTATACATTGTCTTTTAGGTGAGAAATAAAATATGTATCTCTTTCTCTGTATACAGGAATAATTCTTTTGCTAGAAACTGTTGTCATTTAAGATTTAAACTGCTGAGAAATAAATTTGGAAACTTAATATGAAATAAAAATGGAGGACGAACAAGTAATAATTTAGAAACAAGGAAAGAAATTTTCTAGACTTATACGGAAATTCAGAACTTTTGAAGAAACTAAGCCATTTATAATGAATCAAGAATATTTATTCGAAAATCCAAAATATTAAAAAAAAACATTCCTTAATTGCAAATTCATTGAATAATTTAATCTTTTAATATTAAACTAATATTTCAGTAAGTTGCACATTGGTGACAGCAATAAATGTCTTTCTTAAAAGACATAATTCTGTTTGTATCGAAAGCATATATAGTACTATATATTAAATATTAAAACATAACATTAACAAAAAAATCCATATTTTTTACCTCTGAGTGTGAAGACACTAATTAAAATTTCTGCGAGGAAAAGTGTTTCGATCTGAAACATAAAGAGTCATTTTTCTCACTACATATGTAAGATTTTCTTCCGTCTGATGCAAGATATAACGTGTTAGATCATATAATAACATCAGATCGTTTCTAATTTAAGCAAATTTTATCAGGAGGAGGTCATCTTCTGTAAGATTGTTTAATAAAGGGGAAAATTATGATTTTTTTAGTAAGGATAGTTTTTCAGACTGGCACATTGTAATAAATTCTAATAAGCGTGACTTTTACATGTGCTGCGAATGTTTTGTTACATGAACTGGACTGTTATTTATTTCTGTACCAATAATAATGCTTTGTAAGGAATTATCGAATTCTGTCGTGCATGTTTCTCATGGTGTAAGTGGTTAGTATATTTGAAGATCCAGGTGAGGGTACGGTTCGTTTTGCTTAAAAAAGTTAATGTTCTTTACGGCTTCTCTTGAAGAATGACAGTTTATGCTATAATTACCTTTTGTGACGATTTAATTTTCAGAATATTGTGATTAAATAAACATGAAATAATACTCTGAGATATTACAAAAATATAAAATTAAGTAGAATTAAGCAAAATTAAAGTGCCCTCTAGCCTGTAAAGGCATCTCTCATATGAAAAGACAATTCATTTAAGAGGCACTGACATTCCTTTCCTTATATATACGCAAACACAAGAGGAAAATAAGTAATTACAGCGAAACAAATCATTTTATCATATTTTGTTCATTCCAGAAATAAAACATTTCTTTAATACTTAAAATACCCTTCATTTAAGTTCTACTGCTTGAACATTCTACAAAAACCAAGGTGACTCCGCAGAATTTCGTTTTATACGGATTTTATCTAAAATATAAGCGCTATTACACAAATATATATATTTTTTTTTAAATTTTGTTGCAAAGAAAATATATTTGGCACCTGAAAGTGTCAGATTTCTATACATTGCAATGATTTATAATCATATTTGAAATAAATCGAACTAATTTAGGAAAAAAGTGCGAGATTTAGGAAAAAGGTTATTTTCTTAGAGAGGAATGACGTTCTTAGTACTTTTGTTATATATTATCAAATACAGAAGAAAAGATATGTAGTCATTACTTTCACAGGACACAGAAATTAAAATTACACGTCCGGTTAGTGACTTTATATATTCACTTGAATATATTTTACGCGAAATTTGCTATTATCTATTACATGTAGCATAACTATGCTTACTTTTTTTTTTTTTTTTTTTTTTTTTTGTAATGCTTATGTAAAGAGAGTATACAAAACTAAGAGGTTGGGGGTATACATATCTAAGAACTCATTCTAAAATCAAAAGAGATATTACAGCTTAAAATGGCATAAATTTTGTTTAATTTCGTATAAGTGATAACATTTGGCATTACTAATGAGGTTTTCATAAAACTTTTCTGCATACCAAAATATACAATTTATAAGGTATTTTTCTACCTACTTTCTGCATGCCTTCGCGGTGTAATTGGAAGCACACTCGAGGCGTATTCGCAAGGTCCAGGGTTTGTGTCTCGGAGAGGGTGCTGCACATTTTTTCCGTCTTCTCTTTTAAAAAGACCTAATGACTCTTCAAGTGTCGCCGGAACTAAAAGGTGGTGGTCGATAATTCGTCACCAAGAGGATTTGACAACTGGTTCCTCTCATCCTCAGTGGGAGGTTCGAATCCCGCGAACGGGCTGGCTGCATGGGTGTTTTCGTGGTTTTCCCCGTGTGTAACGTGTATACGAGCCAGTTTTCCTTACAAAGTCCTCCACGAAGGCATCCCTCCCCTTAGGCAGATAGCCCTCGAGGCTTTACCGTAATTAAATAACCTAACCTCATCCTCAGTGGCGCTTAAAACGAAGAGTATATAAGATATTATCTCCTTCTTTTCCCGCATGCCTTTGTGATGTAATTGGAAACATAATCGACGCGTATTCGAGCGATCCAGGGTTCAAGTTTCGGTTAGGGCACTGCAAATTTTTCACCTCTTCTCCTTCAAAAAACTTAATGACTGTACAAATTTAGTCCTTGATTCGGAAACTAATAAACTTATTTTGAGAAATTTTATTTAAATTGCGGTTTATTTATGACAGGATTAACAACATTAAATTATTTTCTGCGTATTAACAGGTTATTGTGCAGGATGAAAAGAAGGGTGAATGTTACTGAAATATCTCAGACAGATCAAAAATGAAAACAATACTTGATTATATATGTGGGAATGCCATTTCTGGTGAAAACATTATAAAATGATTTTGAAAGAAATAAAACACCATTTGAAGCAGTATTTGTTAGTCAGTGATATATCAACCTAAGTAATAAGAATATAGCTACGTTATTTCGCCTAATGAAGTTGGAAACCGTAATTTGAAAAAATATAAAATTTTGAAATTTCATTTTATTTTTAATTATTTTATCGATTATCAGCTAGAAAATTTTATCTTCTGGAAATATCGAAATGTCCATAAATACATTTCTTTTCCAAAAATCGGTAACTATATGACTAAATATTAATATTGGAAAATATGAATGGTTTAGAAAAGTTAATTATAAATTGAATTAATTATAAAAAACTTTATATATAACCATAAAATTAAAATACTTACTAATATTACTACCGAAAAGAATGCGTGAACTTATTTTACACAATTTAATTTGTTGAAAGCATTCAACGACTGAATTAAACAACAGGTGCATTGGAGAATTCAGAAAATCATCCCATTTTAAATGAAACAAGTTTAACAAATTGTTCCAATTTTGAACAAAAACCTAACATATATTTTCTAAAAATATTTACATATTTTAGTGCAGCCTAAATAATATTTTAAATGCTTCATTCTCTATAAACGTTATTGGCAGAATATTAAAATCATAGTTCATACTCAAGCTTCTCCCTCCCTGAAATTATTAAATTTGTCGCAAACGTAGATAAAGATTACCAGATTACTTTCACAAATTTAATATGTCCGAAGAAAAGCATAAGAAAAAACTTTTCTTAAACGTTACTAATTATTTCGAAATTTCTTTTAATCTTTGTTATTCTTATTTGTAATAGTAGATAAAGAAAAGGCTGATTTTTTGCTATTCTGCTAGTTTACCTCCAGCAAAATTTGTCTCAACTGTTTAATATTAAAACTTTTAACTGTACACATTTTATCTTACTTATAGTTTATTCGAAGATGAAAATAAAAATTTTATTAAAAAAGAATTAAATTCACCTGCAACACTTACCTCGAATTACCTTTAGAGTTTAGTACAGGATATCTTTCTATGCAACAGTCTTCTGTTTTAATAACCGTTCTTTGAAGCATCATTTTAGATCTCAGAATATTTTACACCGCTGTTAAACAAACCGATGAAGAAGGTGAGATCGAATCACGTTTTCCGATGGCGCCATTTTAAGATCAAAGCACCAGTCGGTTCGTTAACGGCATCTCAGGTGAAAGAACGTCCTGATCGATGAAGTGGATCTCTGAAACTCTTCCAGTGAAATGAATTCACTATCGGTAGATGATATGCCGAAGATGCGTTACTCAGCATATTCTGTTAATGTGGATTTTCCCTCCAATAAGGGCCCCGATCTCGGTGCCCGAGGGACAGTGTGAATTTGGGAAAGCATCTCAGAGGATGTAAAGATCACTTCGTGGAAAGGATGGAAGAGATTTAATAGCATAAATGCGCATGCGTCGGGGCTTAGAAAACTCACAGGCCGCTTCACTTTTCATCGGTCGATTAGAGAGCCAAGGATTCATTCACAGTTATTTTGCAAAAAATAAACTAAATTATCTTATCGAAAGCTACGTGCAATTAAGTAGAATTCCGAGCACAATTAATGTTTTAAATATTATTTTTTCATTCACTCTAAAATATAAAGGACTCAAAATGCAAGTGTTTCATGCTTTATGAAAAAAAATAAATAAATAAAACAATTAAATGCAATTTCAGTGTAAAGCACGTAAAGTTCGCTCATTGTCTTCAGTCAATAATGATTATCTGAAAATAATAAAATACAAGATTTAATTATTATGGTGACTCAGCCTATAGTTTACCTTGTCAATACTCGTAGCTGTAGAAGGTGAAGTGTGAAGGAGATTTCATTTACATCATATTAGAATTACATATTTTGAAATTTCTCACCTCCGCCTCACTCAGCTGACGTCTATTGATCATGAGAGCAATTTAAACGATAATATTTAAACGATAATATTTAAACGACAAGCAATTTAAACGATAATATTTTACAGCTTAGGTAATTTTGTTTGGAAGAGATAGCAGTAAGTACTTATTTTTATAATATAATAAGAGAAAATTAAGTGAAAAGGAGACCTTAGTTTAAATTTCATTTAAAACTATCTAATCTTCAAAAAAGGAAAAAAAAGGAGAATATCGAGAAGAGAATGGGTCTGCGGTATTTAATTTCAAATAGGAACTAAATTACTGTGTAGAGACATTAGGTTATTTCGAGGTCGGAGAGATGAAAAATTAGCAACGCCTTCGCCGGGAATCGAACCACGAACCTCTGGAATACCGGCCTAGCGTGCAGAGCCACTACACCACGAAGGCACGCTAGGAAAGCGGCAGAAATACCTTATATACTCCCCTTTTCAAAGGGCGACTGGGGTTTTTAGGGGACCCAATCGCCAAATCCTGGGTGCGGAGAGTCATCCTTTTAGTTAACTTTTAAGTTAGGGCCCTTTTAGTTAGGGCGACACTGTAGAGACATTAGGTTATTTTGAGGCCGGAGAGGTGAATAATTAGCAACGCCTTTGCCGGGAATCGAACCACGGACTTCTATAATACCGGCCCAGCGTGCAGAACCACTACACCACGAAGGCACGCTAGGAAAGCGGGAGAAATACCTTATACATTGATTATGTGATTTCTAATAGTAATGATTGCTGTCGGGTATTTATAATATAACTATTTTGCACGTTTTCCTAAACCAACATATTAACATTTAATGCGTCATTGACCAGTTACTCCTGGCCTTAAACCCTATGGATACAGTTTGTTCTCAAGCTGAATAGGTTATTGATTTTAAAATAGACGACATGAATTCACGGAATTTTTAAATTGTAGAGTATTTGTATATCTGCAGTACAGAAAAAAAAATGTGATAGGATTAAACTAAATTTGTGATAGAATGTAACATTAGAGCAGGTTCCCATGAGCGTTTTCAAATCCGATTGTTTTAAGCTCTAAAATTTGTCTCCAGATTAGCATTTGACGAAATCTGTCTGTCTTACAAATTCTTACTTAATGGTTTAACTTCAAAAGTCAAGTATGCTCTCAAAGTACTGACGGATTGTTCGTATTGTCAAATTCAGATGTTCGCAAAAACGCGCGCTTTAATCAGTATTCAGTTCATTATACCGTCATCCATGGATTTTCATGGAGGCATGCACTATCGATAAAACACCGTACGAGAGCCTGGCTTTTAATCTATTTTTGTTTGTCATTGTCGTTGTTTTAAAAACATTTTCTACACTTTTGAAGCATAGGAGAACAACAACCGGTTACTCGTAAGCTCTGCGTTCGATTTCACAGAAGCGAACAGTTTATTTTCAATGATATCTCACTGGAAACTACTGCTTTCTCCACAACATTTCTAAATTATATTATTTAAGATATTAAATTGATTAAAAGGTGGACCATCACCTAGGATATTAATTATAAACCTTCCACTGAAAAACAAATAAAAGAAAAATTCATAGAAAAAGTAAAATAAATAAGTGTTGAGTAATTTTGTGAGAGATAAGACTGAGTGGTAAATGTGTCTGGACAATTAAAACCGCCCAATGAGTAGAAGCAATATTTCTGAGATTTAATTCATTGCTCTCTTTCAATTAATAAAGGAAGTTGCAGAATATTCATTTATTTTTAGCTTTTCTATCTTTCACGCTCTCCATTTTCCTGCCAGTTGACTGTAAAGAGATCAGCAACTGATTCATTGTAAATCGAAGAAAATTGTTTCAAGATTCAACGCTTTGTCATATAGATGTAAAATTAATTTAAGTTACGATGTTGCTGCAAAAGGTTGGCTCGTAGTTAGTTAAAATTTAAGATCTTAACAAGGTGGTTGAAGACCTTCTTTCCGGCACTTAATTGTGGCAGGGAAAGCTCCTTACGTATGCAGGGAAAGCTCCTTACGTATGGAAGGAAATCTCCTTACTGGTCAGATAAAAATAAATAAATCTGACCTGCCATTTTACGTTAAATAGCTTTACTGTCATTCTCCTTTTCCGCTTTCATGCAGGAATGCTAATTTCGAGTTCGCACGTTTTCAAATGAGGTAGAAAGAGATAGTATTAAAGGCAGTGCGTGTTCCTCCTGCTGAAGACCACATTACTAGTTAATTCTCTTGAGAGCAGTTTACTTGCCATTAGGCTTATCGCTTTGATATTAGGTTTGAGCCAACATGCGCGCATTCTGTCTATGTAGCCTTTTGGCTAACTTACAATTTACTTAGTTAAGTTAAATTCGTTACCTTTGATTTACGCCACAAATGCTGGCTGGTTCTGTAATCACAAGCTGTGCTTTCTGTTAATCTATCTGAGTTAATGAAAGGGTCTTTTACACCCTTTGCAAGTCTCTGTTGTAATTCCCAAGACACAGCATGAAGTCGCTTGAGTGTTCAGAGTTTTTCATTCATTTTATGTTACCAAAGAAAATGAGACTCTGTAAAGTTACTAAAATTTATTTCTGAGACTTAAAGATCTTTGCTCTAATCTTCAGTGTTTTCTAATGCTGAATTCAAAAAATCAAGAAAAATAACCGATTGACGTACACTTTTTTTTTTTTTTTTTTTTTTCTCGGAAAAGCTATTTTAGCTATATAACACTTTTGTTTCTTCAGCTGTAAGCAAATGGAATACAAGTGCTACGAACAGATAGAAAGATAAAAAAAAAAAAAAAAATTGAGAAAGTACTAATTTCTAATAATGATGGCTTCTATTATGAAAGGGGGTGGAAACAGCGAAGAAAATAGGGCGTGCCTGTCTAGGGATGGAAAAACATCTTTGACTATTTCAGAGCCTCTGCAATCAGACTGTTAGTTAAGCAATTAAAAAATGTCTAGCTATGATGAGAAAAATGTCTTGCGTTTTGATCAGTAATAATAATTTAGTTGTTCTTTTCTTTCTCTCTATCAATTACAAAATTCGCATATTTTACAGAATTTCAGCATTTGAGTTAACTTTTCTAATATAAAAAAAATTATCCAATTGTTTCTAAAGAACTGTGTTCCTGATCTGATGCACACCTGCAGCTTCACAAACTTTACACAAAAGAAACAAAGTTTTGAAATTTCGTATTCTATGGCACAACACTACAAATCACACGTATAATATTGCTTTTGTCAAAATTATCCAAAAACTTCCTCACTTCGTGAATTAGATTTCCTAGTCTTTCCATATGCATAGCAATCTCTCTAGATTCGTCAATGACTTAAAATCTAATCCATTTTTCTCAGCCATCGGTAAGCAAAGCAGTTCTTGGTATGCTTCCATTTTCTGTCCCTAGACGACACGATTTCGTTACCTTTCTTTTTCATTTGATACTAGAAGACGTGGTTTTCGTTGATCTTTATTTCTGTTTGTGCTGCTTGTCTTTCATTTAGTTGCATCTAAAGAAGGCAGTAGTGTTCAATTGCTGAAAGCACTTTTGCCAAAACAAATCCACGATAATTAATTTACTTTTTGAAACTCAGTTTCACTTGACGTATCATTTTTTACCACTCTTCTGCTATTCTTAAGAAATATTAAATTTTCTAAAGTTTAAGAAGACTCTAATAATTACATTTCTGTCTGGCTCTGAAAACGAGGACCGAAAATTTACGAATTTAATACAAATTCAACAACATTAGCTAAGGACTTTTCTTGGAGATAAAAAATTTTAATTCACGGAAAACAATAAGCGAACTATCCAAATTATTGCATCCTCTCCTGCAAAGTGGACTTCGGCAACCTTCGAAATTTTGAGTTAATCCCAAGCAGCACATGACGTAGCAAAGACGTAGCAAACTGGTCCGAGAAGTTGTAACTTTTACAACGTCTTTGCAACACAGAGAATACGCAAAATATTTGCTGTCGCATCCTGCAATAGAAGTCGATGAAACATCATGATATGACGGCTTTTAGACGTCATCTTTCTAACCATTCTTCATAGTTTGTCGGCGGCACTTTTAGAATAAGAAGAGATTAAATCTGCCCTTTCAAGAAACAAAATTCTTCTCAAAATTCATTTTTTAGCTTTTCATTACTTTATTTCATCTGAATATATTGATTTAAAGTAAATGCATCTAATAAAATATAAACTTAATATAAATACTTTTGAAATATTAAATTAAATTAATACTAAGAAACATGTGCTAAATTATTCTGTAAAACTTTAATAAAAGTAATTAATATTGAATATTTTGGTTTTATAAATATTACAGCAAAATATTTGAAAATTAAAATAATCTATAAAATAAGAAGGAGTTATTCGAGAAGCCAAGAAGCACCAAGAAGGAGTTATTCGAATGGGACGAAAATCGGTAGAAGTGATGTACAAAATGTACATGTACAAAAAAACAAATGCAAACAGTTAGAGAAAAATTGGATGGTT